CTTTTTAATTCTCTTATCTCAGGGTTAAATTCGTGCTTCAATATCTATGCTATTACATGTGAAAGGTAAGGTCCAAAGAATACCGGAATAATAAAAAACACATATGATATAACACTATATATTGAAATAAAAATAATGAAATAATTCACACTCAAATGTTTTCAATAAACAAAATCTCATATAATGATTCTCAAAAATTTGTTCTACGTACGTGAATCTTCAAAATTAATGGTACAAACAATATTAATTGAAATCTCAAAATCCCAAATATTATTCTAACTCTCCTAATCCAAATATTTATATCCTTTCTATATTAAGTGTAAAAATTGTGTTATCAATAAAAGGAAAAAAACTGCAGAAAACAAAACTATCTCTCTCTGATGATGAGTGGTCCAAATCCTTGTTCCTTGTAGACTATACTATTTTCTCGTATCCGCTCCCTAGATAATCAGCAATCTTACAACAAATTATTGCAAGTTTATCGTCCTTAATGATCTCCTTCAAATGCACGAATCGTTCAAATTATGCTAGCTTCTTCTTCTCTCAATAAACTGAATCTCTCGTTGGCCTGAGTGAAAACTGACTCTTGGAATATCTTTTCTTTACGATAAACTGAATCTCTCGTTGGCCTGAATAGTGACTCTTGGAATATAAGTGGAAAATATAACTTACAATCTTTTACTGGATCAGCTTCTGTCAGATACACTAACTACACGAAAACTCACAAACTTTCACTGCTACTGCTTCCTACCTCTGGGAAACTACCCGAGAACAACGGCCGTTCGCCTTCTACCCTTGGAAACCAACTGACTATCTTTTTTCTCTCAACAATCTAGCTAAACTTTTATTCCTACATACCTATCCCACCTTTTTCAATCTCCGCCAATTAAAGCTCGTCACAATTCTCCCATTTTTTCATTTCGATAACAAACAAAATTTTACCTATAATTATAAAATTTCCTAAAACTTATTTACAAATAATATTTTTCTACAATTCTTAAAAACTAACAAAAACCTCTTTCTAAAATCTATTCTATTGTCCTTAATCACTGCATTAATGTATTTGAAAAACCCGGTTCAATTGTCTTTGGATTTCTCTTAAAATTATGCGGGTCACTCAAGTATATTATAACAAAGAAAATAATTTATGCATAGCTTACATTTTGTTTAATACAGGTAATCCAAAAATTTAAAGACTTTCCTTCTTAGAAATGTTTGTTGGTTATTATCCTACTTATCTAAATTATTTTAATGTTTTTGAACTTTGAAATATTTTAAACAAACCAATATTTTTCTCGATTTTACATATCACAACAAATCCCCGCCATTTGATCTGCCGAAAACTCTTTGTTAAATTTTAAAAATGACAAAAGTTTTCTAGGATCAAATTATTTCACTATGTTATTAAAATCTACTTATGATACTGATAAATGTCGTGAATGTTAAAATACCCCGTATATTGCCTGTCTTTATACGGGATTGGATATATTTTTGTTTTAAATTTTTCCAAGTATTTAATCTTAAAACAATGTTCATAATTTTTAGCCACTTAACTTTCTTCAGATATTCCCATTTCTCGTGATATTTTCCATTTTGTCGCTCTTGGTTTATTTTCCTCTGTTTATTTTTTAACCACAAATAGTTGAGAAATTTATTTTCGAAATCTGTCCAAATTTTAAACTCATCTTCTTTGCTTTCATACCATAACGCTGCTCCTTCTTTCAGATGGTTTCTAATAGTTTCTTTGCAATCGTCAAAATATCTAATATGTTGTAATTTGGTTTTCAAATTTTTAACAAACGGTACTGGGTGTGTTTTTCTAATATCCCCGCCAAATTGTACTTTCGCCTCGCTAGTTCCATGAATGATAACTTCTTTTCTCTCTACTCCTCTTAGTTTAATTTCTGCCATTTGTTTTTCATTTTGCTTAATTTTCCTTTCTATTTCTCGCATGACTTCTTGTAACGCGTTTTCAAATTTTGTTTCTAATTTTTATAATTCCTTTTTCTGGACAGTCTTATTATTTTTCATTTTAGTTTCTATTTCTTCTCTCTGCATCTCTAGTTTCCTCTCTGTTTCTTCTCTAACTTTTTCTTCATTTTCATATTTGTCCAAACGCTTTTCCATTTTCCTATCATTTTCTTCTAATTTCTGTTCTATTGCTTGTCTTGTTTCCCGTTGGTTTTCTTCCATTTTTAGTGATGTTTCTTTTTGGTTTTTCGCTGCTGTTTCATTCATTGTTTGTTTTGTCTTTTCTTGGTTTCTATCCATTTTCTTTGATGTTTCATTTATTGTTTGTGAAAATTCATCCATTTTTCGTAACGTTTCTTTGTGGATTTTATTCATTTTCTCGTAATGAAGTTGCATTAGTTGTAATATTTTATCTATTTCTGATGATTCATTTCTCTCCTTAATTATTGTAACATTTCCTTCGTTATCCGATCCTTCTTCAACAATTGTTTCCTCTTCTCTGTTATCCTCCTTCCTGTCTTGCATTTTGCTTTGACTTCTTGTGGTCGACATTTTGTTTCTTTTCGTTATTGTTTTTGTCCCCGCCAAATGTGAAATTTTACACCACTCTATACGTTGCAGGACACGACAAATATTTCTTCCCAATTGTATTAAATTTTCACGACAAATATCAAATATGCAATCAGTAAAATTCAAATAATTCAAAATAAATATCAAATGTACGATTGGTAAAGAAAATAAAAATCAAATGATTCAATATCAGTAAATATCAACTAACTACGATCAATCAATAAATCAAATTTTTATCTACTGGAAAAAAATTGTCAAAATACTTTCAAATTCAAATTCCCTCAATGTTATATGTTTTTATCTCTGGATCACCTGTACTTATTCCAGATCTCTTTCCCTTCCTTCAAATGTAAAGCTGCGATATTTTCAAGCCCCACGTTTTGGAAGCCAGTTAATGTGATATTTAAAGTCTTGGTGCGCCAAGCTATTAATTAGCTAATTAATTAATTAATTAATTAATTAAAATTATTTAAATGATATGATTATGACTCTATCACACTTTTTAATTCTCTTATCTCAGGGTTAAATTTGTGCTTCAATATCTATGCTATTACATGTGAAAGGTAAGGTCCAAAGAATACCGGAATAATAAAAAACACATATGATATAACACTATATATTGAAATAAAAATAATGAAATAATTCACACTCAAATGTTTTCAATAAACAAAATCTCATATAATGATTCTCAAAAATTTGTTCTACGTACGTGAATCTTCAAAATTAATGGTACAAACAATATTAATTGAAATCTCAAAATCCCAAATATTATTCTAACTCTCCTAATCCAAATATTTATATCCTTTCTAAATTAAGTGTAAAAATTGTGTTATCAATAAAAGGAAAAAAACTGCAAAAAACAAAACTATCTCTCTCTGATGATGAGTGGTCCAAATCCTTGTTCCTTGTAGACTATACTATTTTCTCGTATCCGCTCCCTAGGTAATCAGCAATCTTACAACAAATTATTGCAAGTTTATCGTCCTTAATGATCTCCTTCAAATGCACGAATCGTTCAAATTATGCTAGCTTCTTCTTCTCTCAATAAACTGAATCTCTCGTTGGCCTGAGTGAAAACTGACTCTTGGAATATCTTTTCTTTACGATAAACTGAATCTCTCGTTGGCCTGAACAGTGACTCTTGGAATATAAGTAGAAAATATAACTTACAATCTTTTACTGGATCAGCTTTTGTCAGATACACTAACTACACGAAAACTCACAAACTTTCACTGCTACTGCTTCCTACCTCTGGGAAACTACCCGAGAACAACGGCCGTTCGCCTTCTACCCTTGGAAACCAACTGACTATCTTTTCTCTCTCAACAGTCTAGCTAAACTTTCATTCCTACATACCTATCCCACCTTTTTCAATCTCCGCCAATCAAAGCTCGTCACAATTCTCCCATTTTTTCATTTCGATAACAAACAAAATTTTACCTATAATTATAAAATTTCCTAAAACTTATTTACAAATAATATTTTTCTACAATTCTTAAAAACTAACAAAAACCTCTTTCTAAAATCTATTCTATTGTCCTTAATCACTGCATTAATGTATTTGGAAAACCCGGTTCAATTGTCTTTGGATTTCACTTAAAATTATGAGGGTCACTCAAGTATATTATAACAAAGAAAATAATTTATGCATGGCTTACATTTTGTTTAATACAGGTAATCCAAAAATTTAAAGACTTTCCTTCTTCGAAATGTTTGTTGTTATTATCCTACTTATCTAAATTATTTTAATGTTTTTGAACTTTGAAATATTTCCAATATTTTTCTCGATTTTACATATCACAACAATATATATATATATATATATATATATATATATATATATATATATATATATATATATATATATATATATATATATATATATATATATATATAAACATATACAAAAATAAAAATATATATATATATATATATATATATATATATAAACATAAACATAAACATAAACAAAAATATTGTAGTCGTAAGGGACAGTCATAAGGAGTCCACATATTAGCTTTCAAATTTGACTATTTTTAGAGTAGCATAATGTGCGATTTTGCAAATATCCAAATTAATGTATGTAGTATACTGAATGAAATTTTTACTAAAATATTAAAGTATTTCTAATATAGAAATTTAGTTAATATTTTCAGTGTTGAATTTGACAGTTTTCTAAATTGTCAGTAAAATCAAACATCTGTCCGATAGCTGATTTCAAAAACATCAAGATATCTTACTATTAAGTTATTTATTACATAATTTAATTTTTGGGTCTGATGATAACAATTGTCTACTAGTACTTTAAATTATAAAATAGAAATATATAGGTATTGGTTGCTAAATCTATAAATATATATTTATGTAAAGCATTTGCTTTATTAATCATTAACAAAATTATCTATGTATTTTATTTAAGAACAAAGCAATAAAATTACTTTTTTATGTGTTTGTTTTAGAAAATGGCCTACGTGGTAAACCAAAATCCTCAACATGGTAACCCACTCGGTACTGATCCAGAAGTGATTCAACAAAGCGGTTCTTTCAAAAGATTGATGTGGAGTGTCCTTCCTGGTACCCAATTTTAAATGGACAAAACTTACAATTATTCTAGTAATAAACAGTTTTTCGGTGTAATACTGTGTCGAGAATATTTAATACAATATGTAATAGAGTTACAAATGTTCATTTAATATCCATCAAATTAATTAATCTGCGAGCACGTAAAGCCATCTTTATTAGGTAGTTGGTAGCTATTTACAAAACGTTTCGTTTATAGATTAATTTTACAAAAAAATCTTATCACAGTAATATGATCAATTTTACCATTTAAGTTTAACTTGCATTTTTTTTTTTTTTTGATTAGTGTCTTAATTCTGATTTCAATAATTTATCAAAGTTGCTTTAAAAGTATATCAACAGAAGCGCTAACATTAAACATACACTTAAATTAAAACAATTCTTAATTCACGTGGTATTTATCTTGTTTGTATAAGGCAAATTTTGCAAAATTACAAATATTTATTAGCAAACTACAACTGACATTACAATTTATATTGTATTGGATTAAAGTAGTAGTAACAGTTTATTGCGTATTTTTTCAGTTTACTTCGTAAAAGTCTTTTTACCCATTAAATATTTCCACTTGTTAAGGAGAACATGATAGCAAACCTACGTGGTATTATTTCACCATGCCCCCAACCACCCTCATCTGCTCTCTATCGCATGTACCCTTCTTCTCTAATGTACTCCATTCAAAACTACAACATGCTCTCTGCGCTTTTCCACTTCCTCTCTAATATCCAATATCTCTTTCTTTTATCATCGTAGCAATCAAAATATCAACGAAGTCTAATCTTGCTTGCTACAGAACGTCAGTTCAACTAACACATCCGCTGCAATTATACGCACTTACACTCCTGTCTTTCTCTCATGTATATCATATAGGATACAAAAATGCTCCATAGTATCACCATACTATCTTTAGAATTTAACAAACACGCCATGTTTCTTTTTGGCAAAACGTGTGAGGTAAAAAACGAAACAACCATTTTCCGAGAACACCTGATTTATATGATGGAATATCTCCTTGTGTTCATGGTCGACTTATTTCTTTAGATTGTTTTAATTAATAATTTCTTTAGAAAATGTTAGCTCTAGTCTGTCGATTGTAAATAAGATAATAAAATGTGATTGATCACATATTAACAAAAAAGCCTTTTGCGAACAAAGTTGCTTAGTTTTTTAATATCAATTTATTTGTTATCGCAAATAAACCTTGATTTATTGTTGCCTTGTTTATTTAATAATTTATTATTTTAATTATTAAAGCGAGTGTAATCTAGTCATGATTAGTCTAGAAATATGCAGAATAATATGCATTTGCAATTTAAATATTTCATGTTGTAAGTTAAATGAAAATTAAAAAGGAATGTTTCGTGTTTATTCTATATATAACCAGTATACATATTTAAAATATATATATTTTTCCCAATAACTGTTTTTTTATATATTATATATATATATATATATATATATATATATATATATATATATATATATATATGACTGACTAATGCCGCTACTCACATGCCTTAAATAGCCGCTCCGAATCCCACTCACTTCGCAATCTCGCTGAGGAAGTGACTGCGCAAACATTGACACTCCCACGGTTCAAACTGTTAAACGATGAGAACATCGTTACAAGATATAAAATCATATTTTCATCGAATAGACAAAGATAACAATTATATTTCCCCTTGGTCTCCCCTCCATAAATCTTATTGACGCCCACTGCCCATTAGTGAGACGATTAGTTCCGAAATCAGAGATATTTTACATGTTCCGATCCTAATATAGCTAAGAAACTAGAGGTGAGTCCTCTAGTTTTTTTAAATTTTATCGGAACCGTTTTCCGTAAACTGTAACTAGTTGATTGTTTACCAGTATTCAAATTAGCGAGTACACAAACATATTGGCTATTATCGTTTATGTGTATAAGTATTGAAGTGAAAGAAACTAACGAAATATATATATATTTATTACCACTTGAAAAATAAATTAAACAATACAAATAGTAATTACATTTACATTACACATTATTAAATCGCGAATCGTCTAAATTGACATTTAAAAACATAAGTTTTTCCACTTTTCTTGTTAACCGTGTTCTTTTTTTATTTAAAATTAAATAAGATTTTGAACATGTGTTCAAAAGGAACAGATTTTGTTACAATTCTACAATATTTTATGAATATAGTGGTTAAGTTAGGATATACATGGCGATGGTTTTTCCACCACGGTAATGGACAGTTACAATCTCCGTTAGAAATTTTTTGTGGGTAATATATCTTCAGACAAATACATGTCGACTTCTTTTATATCTCTCGATACAGGTGTATGCTTAGATGAGTCATGTCCAATTAATTCATCAAAAATACAGTATGGACTTGTCATCTTTATCAGTTTCTTTTTCTTGTACTGGTTGATTTTCAAGATTTACTAAACTTATGCAAATACTCATTTCATCCATTTTCCATAGTTGAAGAACGAGTTTTTAAAAAGTTTGCAGGGTGGATTCCTGGATATAAACCGCCAAAGAGAAAAACTTTGTCAGGTTCATTACTTCAGGAATATTATATCAAAACTTAGCAAATTATTAGATTACAAGTTGTAGAAAATATCTGTATTACTACTGACCTCTGGACATCTGGAGTAACCGAGAGTTACATCGCATTAACAGGACAATATTTAACCGAAAATTTAGAATTTAAAACGGTTTTATTAGGCTGCTGCCATTTTTCTGGAAACCATAATTCAGAAAACATCGCTTCTGAAATTAGTGAAATTATCAATCACTGGGGTCTAAAACGAAAAGTAAATTTTACAGTAAATGATAATGCCTAAAATATGGTCAAAACTATTAAAGATGTTTTGGAATGAAAACATTTAATTATTTTGCTCATACGTTAAATTTATTGGTGGAGGACGCACTTAAATGCTGTCGTGTACAAAAAGATAAAATAAAAAGTCCTTTTTTCGACAATTCGGCAAACGACACATTTCAAAAAAGTACCTTATCTTCAGAAAGGCTTTTAAAGTATCAATTACAACATAACAAAGTTCCCAAATGACCAATCCAAAACGTGGAAACTAGGTAGAACACCTATTACATGTTAAACAATGTATCCGACGTAGTACAATTACTAATATCGGGTTTAGCAAAAAGATTTAGAGGGATAGAACAGAGTGGCACATTGTCATTAAGTACATTTATCTTCTTCTTCTTCTTTAAGTTCCATCTTCTATCGAAGGTTGGAAATCATCATGGCTATGCGGACTCTGTTGACTGCCGCTCTAAAAAGTTCTGCACTACTGCATTCAAACCATTCCCTTAAGTTCTTAAGCCAGGATATTCTTCGTCTTCCCACATTTCGCTTTCCTCGGATTTTGCCCTGCATAATAAGTTGTAATAATGTATATTTTTGCCCTCTCATCACATGTCCCAAGTACTCAAGTTTTCGTCTTTTAATAGTTAATATTATTTCCGCCTCATTTCCTATCCTTCTAGTTACTTCCATGTTTGACATTCTTTGAATCCATGACATTCGTAGGATTCTTCTGTAATACCAAAATTCAAAGGCGGCCAGCTTATTCAGACGAACTTGTTTGAGTGTCCAAGCTTCCAGACCATAAAGAAGAGTAGATAACACGTAACATCGAAGCATTCTCAGGCGTAGTTCTAACCTTATATCCCGACAACAAAGAAACTTTTTAAGTTTAATAAATGATGTACGTGCTATTTCAATACGTGTCTTAATTTCTTTGGTTTGGTCTACATCTGATGTTATCCATGTTCCTAAATATTTATAGTTATTAACCTTCTCAATTGCAGTATCTTCAATAGTCAATTGGATATTTGCATGTACAGATTTAGTCATGATCATGCATTTAGTTTTCTTTAAATTTATCTTCAGTCCGTACTCATGACAGCGTTCATTAAGGCGTTGCATTAGGTTCTGTAAATCATTGTTGTTATCCGTAATTATTACTGTATCGTCTGCAAAACGTAAGTTATTCAAAACTTCTCCATTGATAGATATACCTTCTATTGAGTCTGAGAGCGCTTCTTGAAATACCGCTTCACTGTAGACATTGAAAAGTAGTGGGGACAGCACGCAACCCTGGCGGACTCCTCTCTGTATTTTGATATTTTCGGTGTACTGGCTGTCAATTCTTACCTTGGCAGTTTGATTCCAATATAAATTAGATATAATTTTCAGATCACGACTGTCAATATTTTTGCTTTTTAATATATCTACAAGCTTTTTATGTTGAACTTTATCAAATGCCTTTTCAAAGTCTACAAAACATAAGTACATATCCTGATTCATGTCCATGCATCTCTGAGCCAGCACATTCAAGCCGAACAAAGCATCTCTTGTACTCATACCATTTCTAAAGCCAAATTGTGTGTCACTAATCTCATATTCAAGAGTTTTAACAATTCTGCTGTGAATTATTTTCAAAAATGTTTTAAGTGTGTGACTCATTAAAGGTATTGTTCTGTGGTCTGAGCAAGTTGTTGAACTTGGTTTTTTGGGAATTGCTACAAAGGTTGATTGCAGCCATTGTCTGGAGATTGTGGCAGTCTGATATATTAGATTAAAGAGTTCAACCATTACATCAATAACATCTTCATCGATGAGTTTTAATAATTCGATGGGCACCTCATCTGGTCCAGTAGCTTTACCCTCTTTTGTGTTTTTGATGGCATAGATGACTTCTTCTCTTAATATTGGTGGTCCAGTATCCTCGGTGATTTCTAATGACAGTTCTTCTCTTTCATTATTAAATAGTTGTTGAATGTAATTGGTCCAGTGACATAATCTCTCCTTCATATCAGTAATAATATCCCCTTTATCATTTTTAAGGATATTCGTTTTTGTGCGCTTTCTAGAACCTGTCATTTCTTTGATTTTTTGTGTAAATTAAAGCTATCGTACTTTTTATCCAGATCTTCTATTTCCTTGCATCTATCGGAGAGCCACCTCTCTTTTGCCTCTCGAATTTTCTTTCTGATGTTTCT